AAGAAAGAAAGAAAGAAAGAAAGAAAGAAAGAAAGAAAGAAAGAAAGAGAGAGAAAGAGAAAGAGAAAGAAAACAACAAGTATTGGTGAGGATGTAGAGAAACTGGAACCCTTGTACATTGCTGGTAGGATGTTATAATGGGTATCCACTACGGAAAACAATTTGGCAGTTCCTCAAAAAGTTAAAAATGGACTTGTCACACAACCCTGCAGTCCAAATCCTAGGTATATAACCAACAAAACTGCAAACATACCCCCAGAAAAACTTGAACACAAACGTTCACAGCAGTATTATTCACAACATCCCCAAAGCAAAAACAACCTAAATGTCCATCAATTGATAAACAGATAATCAAACTGTGGAATATTAATTTGCTATGGAAATGAATGAAGTATCTATACTACAACATAAATGAACCTTGAAAAAATTATGAGTATGCTAAGTGAAAGAAGCCAGTCACAAAAGGCCACATATTGTAGGATTCCATATATATTAAAGGCCTTGAATAAGCAAATCCATTCAGACAGACAACACATGGTGGTCTCCAGGGACTGGGAGGGAGGGAGAATGGGGTTTCTTTTTGGGATAATAAAAATGTTTTGGAATTAGGTAATGGTGAATGATTATACAACTTTGTGAATACACTAAACACTGACATGGTACTCATTAAAACTATGAAATTATGTGACATGTGAATAATATCTCAATAAAAAGAAAATTTAAATAAAAAGTTTAATTAAAAAATAAGATTCACAGTAACTTCTACTGGAAGTTGAACATAGCAGTAGTCTCACCTGCTCATAGATCTCGATAGCTTTCTGATACTGCTCAAGCTGGGCAGCATACGCTGCCACCTTCAACAGACACTTGTTAGCTGAACTGAAATCAAGAACCAGAGCAGAGTAAGTAACGAACTGATAGAAAAATAAAAAGATATCCCAGTTCACCTTCATTTGATACAGTCCAATACACTCACAGAGTATAGTGAATATTTGTCTTTTATCACACTCAACAAAACCCATTTAATTATATTAAGAAAAATAATACTTGCCTGTTAGATTCTTCTCCTTTGTAATAATCAGCTGATTGTTCATAATGTGCAATAGCCTAAAAACACACACATTTCATTCAAACTACTTGTTTGAAGGATTTCATTTAAAAACATTTGCACAGGTATTTTTCTTCTAAATAGTTCTACCCCAACAGCAAACCTTTCACAACTTGGCCTACTTTATTTAGGGAACACAAAAATACATGCACCTCTGGAAACCTGGTAGCAGAATGTTCGTTGCCCATCAAAACGCTTCTTCCCTTCCCTCATGGCAAATAACCAGCTACACCATTTTCCCAGCCTGCATTGCAGCTGGGGTAGCCATGAAACCTATTCTTTCCAATGGAATGTAAATAGACATTCTGTGAACTACTTCCAGACTTGGTCTATACATGTGACTTCACATTCTTCTTTAGGCCTTTTCCCTTTCTCGTGAGCTAGAATGGCAATGCCCAAGTCTAGAGTGACATTGGAAGCCACAAGTTGAAGATGGCAGAGCTTTTGTCAACCTGGTTCCTAAATAATTACAATTGGGGTGGAATGTATACCCCAATGTCCATGCCCCCACCACTGCTGAACCCAGAACAGTACACTGGAGTGTTAATCTAGAGACATATGAAGCCCTATTACATTTTAGATTTATGGCTTGCTATAGCAGCACAGATTACCCTCACTAATACCATAAGTTTCATCTATATTAAGGGTGTTGTTTTTAATCTAAAATTTGTGGTGCTGAATTAACAGTCAAGTGCAAAGGAAACAGAGGTTTCAGGCTGGACAGCTAGATACCCTTGTCCTGCTGTGGCATAAGATTTAGTGAAATCAAGCATGTGACAACTCAGAAGGCAAAACACGTGCCTACTGGAGCTGGAAACTATGGGAAGAAGGTCTATGAAAAGAGCCAGATGATACTGTGTACTGTGTTTTCTGCAAAGTTTTATAAGAAAAAAGAACTCTGGAAAGAATTAGCCAGTTTGTAGGCAATTATGAAAGGAAACAGACAAAATCTGTCTGTTTCTCGTAGAATTGGAAAGGCCAATGGTTTCTATACCCCTAATGGCAAGAGGTAAGTCTGAACAACATTTTAAATTACAGGTCTGGGCCGGCCGAGGGGCTCAGTTGGTTAAGAGCTCGCTCAAGGGTTTGAGCTCTGAGCAACAGCGGTTCGAGTTCAGCCCGAGCTGAGTAGCCGCTGAGCTGCCAACAGGTGGCAGGATGGCTCAGCTAAAAAAAAAATGGCTTAAATTACAGGTCTGGCAAACTTTCTGTGACAGGCCAGGTAAATATTTTAGGCTTTGTGAATTATACAATCTGTTGTCACTACATAGCTCTCCTGTGATAGCACAAAAGCAGCCACAGATGATGCATATCTGAATGAGCATGGCTGTATGTAAAATAAACATTATTTATAGACAATGAAATTTCAATTTCTTGTAATTTTTCTGGGTCATGAATGCTTTTCCCTCCCAATGATTAAAGAATGTGAAAAACAGGGCCTGCTGAGTGGCGCGTTGGTTAAGAGCTGGCTTTGGACGACAGAGGGCCCTGGTTTGGATCCCATATATGAGGGCCAGTAACACTGCCCTCTACAGCTAAGATGCTGAACAACAGCTCAACCTGGAGCTGGGCTGCCATGAGTCACCGGCGACGGCATAGGCTGCAGGCCCTGCAGCAGTGGGTTGCCATGGGCTACCGTGTGTAGCCAGCAGCCAGCGTGAGCGGCCAGCAGGCTCCATGAGTGGGCCGTCCAGAAGCCGGTGACTGATCTGCCTCGCCTGGGAAGAGCGCAATGATGGTGCCAACTTGGGCCAGTGAAGCAACATCCTCCACAACTACTGAAGAACAAAACGACAGCAACTTGTCTGTTCCCCTTCCCCCAATTCCCCAGTGCTGTTCCCATCCCCCAATTCCCAAATTTAAAAATCTTAAAAAAAAAAAAGAATGTGAAAAACATTCTTAGCTTGCAGGCATACCTAAACACTTGGTGGGTTTGTAGACTTTTGCCTCAAATTTCAAGGTTTTTCAAGTAATCTTAAAAGAGGAGCTAGTATTATGTGAAAATCAATTACAGGTGATGCCCATCAGTTCAATGGGTTCAAGGCAGTCCTCACAATGAGTTAAGAGAGAGGCAAGGAAACAACAAATAAAATACAACAGGCTAGGGAACTGTGTTAGGAAACCACTTTGGTGTGGTTATGGGCAGAGGGAGCTGACTGGGAGCAAACAATTGGCCCAAAAAGCCTTCAGTACCCCTTCCTGCAGATGGTAATGGTGATCTCCAAGAATGCAGAGCCAACTCTGACACCACAGGCTGAAAGGGGACAGAGCCAACATTAGCCTTCTATGGACTACAGTTTTGTGAAAAAAACTGGACAGTTTTGTGAAAAATAGACACTTCCATGTTTGAATGATTATGTTTGGGTCTACTTATTTCAGCTACTTGGCCTACCCAAACTAATATGCCCCTCCTTCAACAAATTTTCTCAGCATTATTTATAAATTATAAATTTTCTCAACAATAAAAAAAAGACATGCTAAGCAAATGAATGCAAACTGCATTTCAAATGAAGGTCCCCTATTAAACTACTGCCAATATATTTTTTTCCTTTTTTTCAAAATTATTTTTCATTGTGAAATACACATTTTTTAGAATTAGTTTCAGCTGTACAACACAGTGCAATAGTTATACTTTTCACCCCTCGAAGTGACAACCCCCTCCCCCAATCCACCGCCCCACTTCCCCCCCAATATCATACATATCTATTACAATTCCCTTGACTCCACTCCCACACTGTACTCCACATCCCGTGACTATATATATATATATTCACTTAGAGTTGATATACAATATTATACAACATCAGCTTCAGATGTATAGTGCAGTGATCAAGCCTCTACCCCATCCATGAAGTGGTCTCCCTAGCAAGACATGTGACCATCTGACACCCTACAAAATATTTACAGCATTATTAATTATATTCCTCGAACTGTCTTTCATTTCCCTGTGGCAATATTGTAGTTAACTATTTATGCTGTCTAATCCTTTCCTCTTTTCCCTCATCCCCACCCCCTCCCAACTAGCAACCATCAGTTGTTCCTCTATATCTCTGAGACCATTTCTGTTTACTTTGCTCATTCATTCAGTTTTTAAGATTCCACATATAAGTGAAATCATATGGTATTTGTCTTTCTCCGACTGACTACTGCCAATATCTTGAACTCAATGAATAGGATTGGGTTGAATCATATGTAACTACTGTTTTGGAGGTTTAAAAAAAGAAACGAATATCAACAATTTGGTTTAACCTAACACAGGCCCTTTACACATGAGAAATCAGACTGCCATATCTTACAGTTCCAAGGACAATAATAAAAATGAAAAGTAGAACACAGCCACCAATAACAACAGCACACATAATAAATCCTGACATGAAAACCAGCTGATTATCGTGCCTTTTAAGTAGTGTGCCAAAGGGATCACAACACTCTTTGGGAAACCTGCTTACGTGGCACAATGCTGGAAAATACATGGATCCTGAAATGAGAGACAAGGCTCTCTAGGACTGCATCCATCATCATTAAAGCAAATTCAATTTCCAGGGTTCAAGCTTAAGAGTCCACTTTGTAGGTGAAATAGCCTTAAACAGCTTTAAGATGGGATCAATTCTTTTAGAACATATACCCTCATCCAGGACCTAACAGGAACCTATCATACATACCTATCCTACATTGTAACAAACTGTATTAAATCATGTCTTCAGGGACTGAAAACAAAAATGAGTCATAATTCCTCTGGATCATTTAAAAAGGACCCATTTATTATTTGGTTCAGTGTTTTACTTCATGAAGTCAAAAAAGTAATGTGACTTATAAAACTTCACACTTCATTGTTCACTAGCTAAAATCTGTGAATAAATCAGAGAATATACAGTGGTCAGTATTGAAAGGGGAGAAATTCATTTGTAATAAATCAGATATAAAGTACCTCAGTACAACTGATTTTTTTCAAACTTAAACTTCACACACCACCAACCAAAATCTAGTGAGTCCAACGAGGGACATAAAGGCAATGATGTTTCTAAACACAGGAGTCCAAACAACAGTGAACATGACAAGCTAGCCCTGTGTGTGTGTGTTGAGTAATATTCTTACATCCCTTTTAAAAGAACACACCACGTCAATGAAAGAAGATGTCACCAACTGGCCACCTTGCAGAATGGCAGGAACACCATGAATAAGTGAATAATGGGGATTTCAGAAGCTGCCATGACAAATCAATTTTTTAAAAAAGAAAACAAGAATAAGCCATTGATCATTTTATCCACCTCATTTTATTCACAAGGAGACCCATGTGGTGAAGTGGTTGCCCAAAACCATGCCCTGGCGGCAGAGATGGCACAGCACTTCGGGCTCCTCCCTCCAGGGTTCTCTTCTGACCACTGTGGAAAAGGATCCAATGCAGTAGGCTCAGCTGTCAGGAAGCTCTGCACATGAATGCTCATCCCCACAAGACTGAGTACACCTCAATAAAGACATTGAGAAGCGCTGAGACTCGAGAACTTTGAGGACAATGCCCACAGAAATTGCTCACAAGTTGGCTGTGGACAAAGAGAAAAGGCAAGGATGCCTGTGGTTTGGAGGGGTGGGAGGAGGGCAAGATCAGAAGTCAGTCTCAGTCATGCTGGGTGTGAGATGACTACTGGATATAAGTACAGAGGTTGGCAGACATGGGGATAGGATATAGGAATCTGAAGCTCAGAGAGAGGTCTAGGCTGCAGACAGATTTGCAAGTAACATCTGGGATACAGATGATACTTAAAATTTGTGGTGCTGAGTGCGTGCAGAGAGATACCAAGAAAGCAAGTGCAGATTGAGAGAAGACAAATATCCAACTCTAGGGCTCCCCAACTAGAGGGTGAGGAGAAGAGAAGGAGCCAGTTAAGGAGTCAGAAAGAGAGTGCTCAGTGAGGTGGCAAGAGAACCAGATGGGTGCCATGTTCCAGAAGCCAAGGAAAGAAATAAAACGAAGGAGAGGAAGAATGACAAGTGTTCAGTGCTGCAGCAGGCACAGGGAGTGCCATGACCATTCAGATAGGATGCAACTGTAATCTCTCGGAGCATGCTTAATGTTCATTAGTCTGACAGTAATTAGCAATGATCTCCTCCACTACCATTTCTCTTTCTGATTCACACCTGTTGTCTGCCACAGTACTCAGGAGGACAGTTTTACATAACATTTGACTTCAGTCTGAGTTGAGTCAACCTATGAAGTCTGGCAAATGTGTTTTCCTCTCACTAAGGTAGACTCCAGCCCTGCTGGCAATCCCCTGACTGAGAAGACAACAGGAGACAGGCCAAAGCTCAGTGCTAGAGCCAGCTTTTCATCAACTCCACTGGTTCCAACCTGAGTGATCCTAGACAGCGTAACTGTTTCGCATCTTAGTTTCCACACTCATAAAGGGGCCTCGATGTTGTAAAGCTGAAATGTGGTAAACTTCACAGCATGCCACCAAAGACAAAGTCTGGAAAACAGTAGATGCTTAATAAGTGTTTCCTCTTCCCTCTTTTTTCTTCTACTACTAGAGGCATGCCTCATTTTATTGTGTTTGGTTGATACTGTATTTTCATCAACATCAAAGCAACACCTACAGCAGCAAAAAGATTACAACTCACTGAAGGCTCAGATGATGGTTAGCAGCATATTTTAGCAATAAAATGTTTCTTTAAGTAAGGCATGTACATTGTTTTTAGAGACATAATGCTATTGCACACTTAATAGACTACAGTAAGTCCTCACTTAACACTGTCAATAGATTCTGCCACCTTGAGTAACACGACCTAGTGAAACCAATTTTACTATAGGCCAATTGACATACAGAGTTAAGTTCCTACAGTATCTCATCAACATATAACAAAACGATGTTGAACAAATGATGTTATTCTAGAATGCGCTGTGTAGTGTAAACATAGCTTTTATGTGCACTGGGAAACCAAAAATTTGTGACTCACTTTATTGCGATATTTGCCTTATTGCAGTGGTCTAGAACAAAAACCACAATATTTCCTAGGTATTCCTGTATAAACCACAGCTTAGAAAGCCAGACTTGAGTGAAGCACATATGTGGCCAAGTTGGTATTCACCTACCTTCTTCCCCAGGGTAAAGGCCTGAAAATAAAGGTGTGCAAATGCCCACAGTACTTAAGCTTCCTTCACAGGGCCACAGAGGACTCAGTGAAAGAGAAGATTCTCCTGACATGAATCACACAGAATAGAAACAGCAAGTAAATCTTAACTATCTTTCGTCTCAGACACTCACTCGAGGAAAACAGCCCATCTACTCCTTAGCCGCCAGGTCCCTAAAACCTCTACATGAAGCCATGTATGATCACTCTACTCTCTCAAATCTGCTAGGAGAGTAGAGGGTTCCTGGAGTCAACTACCTGCTTCACTCCAAGTTTACGAGGAAGTGAATCCATTGCTTACCTTCTCAATGTCTACAAGTTCAGTTTCATAAATCTCAGCAATGGTAATATGGTGCTTGGCTGCAATTGTAAACCTTCCCTGGGAGAAAACAAAAAGGTAGAGTCACATTCATGTTCTACTGTTCTACCTATTTTAATGCCAATCAGTTTGGGAACAAGAATACAAAAAAAAAAAAAAAGAATACAACTCTAAGCCATCTCAAGGAGTCCACCCCACAGCCGCTCGAGCAAGGCAAAGTCTTACCATGTCTGTGTAAATGTCGATGGCTGCATTTAAGCAGTTGATAGCCTCTGAAGCGTAGGCATTTAAGAAAAACAATAAAAAATCCATTCAGTCAAAGAGGGTTCAGGTGAGCCTATCTTCCTGGCTGCTACTATTGGGTTGTCGGAAAAGTCATGACATATTTTTTCTATTTTTTTGTTGCAGAAATGCATCATGACTTTTCTGACAACCCAACAGAATATCAAGGAGGTCCCACTTGGGGCAGAGGGTGGGCAAGTTAGTTAGTGAGAAGCAAACACAAATCACACGCAAGTCAAGACTCCCTAGCATGCTCTGTCCACAGCAGCTGCAGTGCAACTTAGGGAACTGGAGACAGAGTGGTTGGTATCGGCTCAGTTACTCTTAACCTGACAATGAGGACTCCATCCAGGGGAAAGACTGCATTATAAAGAAGACAAACAGGGGTTGTCATCAAAACTGATCAAGTATATCTTCTAAAATACAAATGTATTTTTCAGTGATATCATGTATTATATTAATTTTGGAAGACCATCTCACACAAAAGATGATTTTAGTGGACTCATGTAGCCAAAATCAAAAGCACTGAAATCCCTATTCAGACAACTCTTAAGCAAAGTCAACATTTCGTACAATGTTAAAGATGCTAACTTTTGGTGTACTAACATATATATAAAAGGGGAAAAAATCTAATAAATTACAGTGCTAAAAAATGTGTATTAATTTTCTAAAACAGTGAGCCAACACATTTCCTGTCACAAAATGGTGGCGTTTATAATTCTGGCATGTGTTTGACAGCTTCACGTTTAGTACTTTTGGTTTAAAGGAGGCAGCAGAGTAAAAAGTCCTGGGTCAAGAATTAGAAAGTAGATAAACAAAAATTATTTAAAAGCAATTTCCTCCTATTCTATACAAGAAATGTTAAACCTTTAAAAACACAGAAAAATATGAAGAAAAAAATAAGCTACCTATAATCACACTCAAACCCACTCTTTAGGATTTGATATGCTTTTCCTTCCAGTGTTTTCTAGATGCATTTTCCTATGTGCTTCTTCTTTATAAATTTGAGATCTCAATTCTCATGTGGTTCTTTAGTTACCATGTGAACATTTATTAGGTCACTGAAAAAATCTGAAACCAGGGAATGTAATGCCTGCATCATATTTTAAAATGCTGATGCATTGTAACTTTACCATTCTCATCTTACTGCTCATTTTTTAGGTTGTGTTCAGTTTTTCACTTTTGGAAATAAACTGATTAATCTCTATACAAAAACCCTTAAAGATATCTTATTTTTGTATGATATAGTCATAAAATTTGGGATTTCTATGTTAAAATGAACTTCTAAAAGAAAAAAGGAGACTCCATCATTACCAGTGCATGCATGAGAGGGAAGAAATTAATTGCTGTTAATTGTTAAGTATGCACTCTTCTAACTGAAAAAGAAATAACATTTGTAAAATTTTACCACTTCAAATACCCAAATTCATTCTTTCCTCATAACTAATACTTTGACAAATACTTTAAAAAGTCAGATGAATACTGTGTGAATAAGTTATTTTTAACCATTGGCTATCATAATTTCCCCTTAACTGGATCTTAAAACACACTAGGTATTTAGGAATGAAGGAACGCTGGAGTTTCCTTTAAGAAGCAATACTGGGGTGCCAAAAAAAGTAAACACATGACTTGTGTTCACCTTTTGTTATCAGTATATATTATTACAATTTTAGTACAGCTTTTTCCTTTCTTAAAATGTGTATACATTTTTTGGCACCCTCTGTATACATACTCATAAAATTAGGATATAAGAAGTCTTAGACAAAATTAAGGCTAATTTCAAAAAAACTCTCCAAAATGCAATATAAATGGAGTTTTAAGAAAATACTGTTAACTAATTAAACAGCCAGGACAAATGCAACATATGTTCTCCTCATTCAAGCTCCAAATGATTAAAGAAAAACTCCTAAAGTTACCAAAATCTCTATTATTCTAAAGTACAAAAATTTATTTTTACCAGAACTCAAAAGATCCAACATTGTAACCTGTGAAAAAGGTCACCAACATCAGCCCTACCATCCTAAACAGAGACTTGTCTTACCTTGAGGGTCTGCCTTTTTGTAAGCATTCCCAGCATCCACAAAGCTGGTAGCGGAATCATGTTTGCTCTGAAGCTGCATATGGAGCTTGGCTGCCTGACAAAATGCATTTCCTGAAGCTGAGGAAGATAAATTACTACAATTAAACACAGAGGAACAAGTATCCCCACAGAACAGCTTAAGCCCTTACTGCTGAACCTACACCTAGAAAGTTCCATTTCACTGAAAAGAAGCATTCCAGTCAGATGCACATATAAATGTGATCAAGTGCATCTCATATGTATATAAAAATAACCAGAATCAAATCAAACAGCGAAAAAAAGCTTCTCTCAGCCACAGGTGACCTCCCGAATGGCCTCTGGGCAATAAACCTCCATTCAAAAGCAACAGCCTAGTCTCAGTCCATTCAATTCTGTTTCCCAGCGTATACTAAACATTGATTGGCTGATTCAAGCTACTAATGTTTAGAGAAAGGTAAACATGATGAGGCAGAAAAAGTTAATAAAAGGGAGCCCAAAGAGTTAACAAAAGTGAGCCCAAAGGGGGACTCAGGCCAGCATCCCCTCCCCAGGGACCACCCAGGCTCATCCCCTAGAGAGAAATCAAGCTGTCCAAACACCCTTAGAAAGAGGAGATAAGACCCTAACCAGAGAGATCAAGTTTTAACACCTGCGTAAACTGCTGGAGCCTGCCTGTTGTTTGAACTCCAGTCTCATTATAATACAATTAAAATAAAATGAACGTAATGGCTTGGCTTCCCCTGTGGATTTTTCTGTATGCATTCTGGGTAAGAACATGTACAAAAAAACTAGTTATATAACCAACATATGTCAATCGAATGACTTCAGTCTATATGTCAAGTGCCCTGAGTTTGGACATCACATCTCCTGCTGTAAGAAAATTTACCTACCCTTTCCTATATAAGAAAAAGCTAACCTGAAGTTAGGAGCAGTTGGCTGCTGGAAACTCTATCCCTGGCTTCTCTGCCAGAGCCTTTCTTCTTGAGTAAACTTTCTAACTTCTATTCCTTTATGAGTCTTGTGAATTCTTTCACGTTCTGCAAACAACCCGGGCTATCCAAAGACAAAACATTTGGTGCTGAACCCGGGAGTTCAGACCCTACCTCCCCCCTCCCTCAGGAGCCTCGCAGAAGGATGTTAGACTCTCCCACTCCTCTTGCTCCCTGTCTCTTTTACTTTCACTTTCCACAAGGCACCTCCAGTGGTCTAGCCTGGGACCTGAGGAGATCTGTGGAGTGCTGGGAATTCCACAGGCCTGGGTCCATGACCCCTGACCTTAGTAGTGCTGGGGATGTTCTCACAGCTAGTGGTCAGTCTCATACTCCTTCCCTGAAGTACATGGTAATAAATACACTAATTCCATAACTCCAGAGTTAAAGATTCTGGCGGAAAATCATGGGGACACCCCTCGATATCCTGGCCCACCTATTACAAACTACTACCCTGGCAGCCATTGGAGGTGCCCCTCTATTCTGCAAGCTGGAACTTGTCAAACCAGCAACCATACCAGAACTCCCTTGTCTCTGCCATTGGGGCCTCTCTTAGGCTAATCACTGGCACCAGTTCTGGGCTTATATGCTGTCTGGAGTATCAAAGACAAAACAGAACACTGAGGTCAAGGATATTTATTTGCTCATCTTTATATCTTATACTGTCCATGGACTTAGCTGTGATTGTTGAAAAATTTGCTAATGAAGGCTTTGTGGACAAAATAAGTTTTTCAGAGAGTGAAAATCAGGCCTATAATTTCGAAACTCAAAATTCTTTCTAAAGTTTATGACAAAATCTGACTGAAATTTTTATGAGGCTTAATCTTAAACTTAGTCTGAAAACTCGTACACTACTCTGCAGAATCACAGGATGCTGCCCAGGTATCCACTGGGACACAGCACAACATGAAAGGTTCATGCAGTGATTTTTCAGAAAAGGTTTTGGCTCAAGGACCATGGATTCTGGCATGGCAAAAAAGAATTCCTAGCAGAGGAGTTGCACAAACAAGGAACAAATGCTTGAAGGCAAGAAGGGGCTGGAACTAGGCCAATGACGAGCCCATGTTGCCTGCAGGAGGAATGAAAGTGCAGGGGCAGTGGAAATCAAGACTGAAGATGCCATCAGGCCAGCTCAGGGAAGGCTTTAAATATTCATATGAGGAACCCAGATGAGGATGAATTTACTTCACCATGGGGTTCACAGTTAGAGAAAAGGCACCATGGCAGTGCCTCAAAATAATGAGCACCATAGACTAGGGAGTACAAAGGCCTCTGGAGACACAGCTCAGTAAGGTCTGGAATAGGGAAGTCAGTACTAAAAGGAATGGAGGGGAAAGAATTTGTTCCACTAAAAACAGCACTATTAAGAATATCATAAAACCTTTTGGTATTAAAAATAAATTTTCAAAAACATTCAGAACAGTACAGAAAATCATGTCAGACACCTAAGTACTCACTGCGGTATTAGATATTTACTTTAAATTTCTCTTTAAAATATAAAACATTCAATTCCATTAAAGATTCACCTGCTATTCCTAGTCATGACCACTCTTCTAGAGGTAACCACATAATTCCCACTCAGGTTTCTGGATTTTCACCCGAGGGAAAAGGGGTAGTACAGACTCCCAAGCCAGGGTGAATTCTTGCCCTGTGCAAGATAAAAAGAGTGCCCTGGCAAGTTTGAAAATATTTAACCACCAACATGGAACAGAAAATTCCTGCTCACCAGGCTTCATCCCTTTCATTGGTGAACCATGAGGCTGGGGGTCCCAGAGGAGGGGCCAAGGCTGCTGCAAGGGTAGTGGGCAGGCACCTGGGGTACTCAGGTCAGCACCTAACTCCTAAGTGGCAGCTCAGGAATGTACCAGCTAAATAGCACCTTTGATGGGCTCTGAATCAGAAGACTGTAGTTGTTACCTTACAGCTAAGTCCATGACCACCATCACCCCCCACCCCCGCACTAACTCCTGACCTAATGAGGTCCTGAGGAAGTCTCTCGGAGCGCTGAGACCTGATGGAATGATATCAGTAAAGCTTCCTCTAGTGGGTGTCTAGGAATGCTGAGACCCGATGGAATGATATCAGTCATCTTCCTTTATTGGATGGACACGGTACAGTAACGCTGTCCAAGAGGTTGTGCGAAGATGTATGAAGGCATAGTACATGTTGGGATACAATGGGAGCTGGTTAATGGAAAACAGCCTTAAGGCACGTAGCACATGGATCTTTGAGCAATCCAGTTTCACTTCCCTGAAAATTTTCTCAATAAAAGCCATGCGTCGGCCTGATTTGGGCTTAGTCCTTAGAAGCTGATGCCCCTTGGCCCCACTTTAGCCCTATATCTGTCTCGTGCTTCTTAACCTTGTGCCGCCCATCTCGTTCTTCACTTCCCTTGTCACATAGAACGCGACATGTAGTAATAACTTGGATCTCCCAAGCTAAAGTGCTTAGAACAGCCTGGCTCCAGTCACACATGTGTTGGCCATTATCATTATTATGTGCAAATCTATCGTACCACTAATGCCAGTAGTTTGGGATGTCTAAATGTCATCATTTCCTTTACAACCTACATCTTTCCTCTTCTACTAGTCATTTCATTTTTGATAGTTTACCTACACTGACTGTCCCAGAATCAATCATGGTACATTCTTTCCTCACTAAGTGTAATACCACAACATCCAGGCTCTCTCGGGCTAGCTCCATTTCCCCAGACAATATTAAGGGCTTCTATTTTACAATTTCATGCTCCCACATTCCAAAACTAGTTGCTGGCTTACTCTTCCACTCTGAGCCTTCATTCCAATCACTGCTAATAAATGCTAGCTTGATTTCTTCAAACTTAAAAGTGTCTTTAAAGGAGCATATATTAAACCAGTCACACAACTTCTCTAGCTAAATTTCCTTACCTGTAAAATTGATCTAATACCTGCCAGGATGATCTGTCAAAAGCTGAGCATCAAATAAATTAGCTTAATCTTTATAAAAAAGCTTTTAAAACTATAAAGACATGCAGTGATGTTATGATCACCACCATTACAACACAGAAATAATCTCACAGAATGTAATGTTTATTCATATACTACACTAATGTCCTGACCATCTACTGTGTTACAAGCACCAGTCTGGGCCCTGCAGGTATAGCAGAGATCAAACACAGAAAATCCTGTCCTTCTGTGGTTTACATTCTAGTAAGGGGACAGCACATAACAGAAACACATAAACAATATAAGTTAGCAAACATATTTCACTTATTTTTGCTCGATGATATCAAAGGCATTAGAGAAAATGGAAGGGGATTTCCAGGAAAAAGAAGATTGCTATCTTTAAAAGGGGTGGTCAGGGAAGACCTCACTAAGAAGACAACATTTGAAGGACCCAAAGGAAAGAGAATCAGTCATATTCTATTTTGGGGAAGAGAATGCCAGAAAGGTATGAGCAAGGAGCTGGGCAAATGAGGAGAGTGGGTAGGAGATGAGGTCAGGGACAGGAAGAGACAAGGGTCAAAGATCAGGTAGGTTCTCAAAGATCACTGTTAAGGACTTTAGCTCTATTTGAAATGACATAAGCTGACTTATATTTTAACAGGATTACTTTGGTGGTTGATTAAAACAGACTAGGAAAAATGTAGAAGCCCAGTGAAGTCAGAGCAGGCGAGAAATGACTAGGGTTGGGGGATATACACAAAGCCTTATTATATTAATAGTAATGGCCTCTCTGAGGTAGAATTTCCCTAACGTTAGAACATCTGGTTACCCGATAAAATAAAATGAAGCGGTCTTTTTTTTTTTTTTTAAAGATTTTTATTGGGGAATTGGGGGGATGGGAACAGACAAGTTGCTGTCCTTTTGTTCTTCAGTCTAGTTGTGGAGGACGTTGCTTCACTGGCCCAGGTTGGCACCATCATTGTGCTCTTCCTGGGCTAGGCAGATCAGTCGCCGGCTTCTGGATGGCCGCTCACAGCGGCTGCTGGCCGCTCACACTGGCTGCTGGCTACATGTGGTAGCCCATGGCAACCCACTGCCACAGGGGCTGCAGCCTACGCCATTGCCGGCGACTCATGGCAGTCCAGCTCCAGGTTGAGCTGTTGTTCAGCATCTTAGCTGTGGAGGGCAGTGTCACTGGCCCTCATATGTGGGATCCGAACCGGGGCCCTCTGGCATCCCAAGCCAGTTCTTAACTATCGAGCCACTCGGCCGGCCCTTAAGCGGTCTTTTAAGATAAGATCACTTTTCACCTATGATTATAGGACCTGAACAAAACAAAAGATGTGAATGCTGAGGTAATACTCTTTTCTCCTCCATTTTTTTTTGCAGTACATTATAATTTAGGCATAAGTGCATTTTGAAAACACAGCATATCCTTTTTACCTAAAACTAAACCTATAAAAAAATTTTAGAACCAGAAAGGACCTTTCAGATTCACCTAGTTCAATAGCATTTCCTTCATTGAAATGATTTTAAAGAGCTGGCCTTAAATAAGCAAATGGATAAATCAACACCTTAATTATATGCCTTAAACTTGTACAATGTTTTGTGTCAATTATATCTCAATAAAGCTGGGGGGGGGAAGCAAACGGGCAAACGGCCTTGTAGAGGGCAAGGACCCTGTTGTAGGTCACACAGCAGGTGCAAACCAGGGCCAGAGACCACGTCCCTGCATCCCTGCTCTCGTTGAAGGCCATCTCCATTTGAAATACCCTACCACTTAGCCATGTCAAGCCCTTTTTCTAGAGTTGGGGATGAATTTGTTTCTCTAATCAGTGTTAGAAAGAGATATCCCCACTCAGACCAATGAACATAATAATTCCATTGGTTTTGTTATGTGTAATTTCACTGGGTAAAAAACATTCTTTAAAAAATGACAATGAGGGACGGCCGAGTGGCGTGATTGTTGGGAACTCTCTTGGGATGCCAGAGGGCCCCGGTTCGGATCCCACATATGAGGGCCAGTGACACTGCCCTCCACAGCTAAGATGCTGAACAACAGCTCAACCTGGAGCTGGGCTGCCATGAGTCGCCGGCGACGGCTAGGCTGCAGCCCCTGTGGCAGTGGGTTGCCATGGGCTACCGTATGTAGCCAGCAGCCAGCGTGAGCGGCCAGCAGCCGCAGTGAGCGGCCGTCCAGAAGCCGGCGACTGATCTGCCTCGCCAGAGAAGAGCACAATGATGGTGCCAACTTGGGCCAGTGAAGCAACATCCTCCACAACTAGACTGAAGAACAAGACGACAGCAACTTGTCTGTTCCCCTTCCCCCAATTCCCCCAATAAAAAAAAATCTTAAAAAAAAATGACAATGAGTTGGGGTTTATATAGATAACATCCCCACTGTGACATTTTTCAATGGAACCACAGTCAGTTATGACAGAGCCGTTCTCAGATTAAGGAATGGTTAGAAGTTCTCAACCAATTTTAGGTAAAGAAAAATAGGCATTTGTATTTATCCTACTTGTTTTCATTGAGTTTTACTACAACTTTCATTCTTTATGGCAATGGATTTACTTGAGCAAATTAGTAAGAAGCAAAAATTACTCTTCTTAACTGCAAGTGATTTTAACTCTTTTTAATAACTTTATGCCTACTATATGAAGTGGTTTATAGAAACAAAAACAGACCCGGTCCCTATGTTTAAATTTTATGTCAGGATTTCAACTTTATTCACTAAATCAAGGTCCTTTAATCCCAGTGCACAGTGGCCACACCAATTATTCAGCACTGACACTTTTCTCTGGGCCAAGAGTCTTATTCTCCATGGGGACAGCAGATAATCATTTCCTCCTTCAAAATGGTTTTGAAGTTATCTGCCAGAAAAGCAAACAAAAATTGCATACATACCACTCCAATTTTTAGCCATCTTGAACATATTTGCAGCTCTGGTATACATTTCACAAGCCTCTTCTATTCTTGTGTTTCCTCTGAGAAAAATTTAAAAATTAGATTAAGTTTTACTATAACAACCAGCCATGTCCCTAATCCTCCCTCCCTCAAATAATATTTAATGAGCACGTATTATGTGCCAGAGAAGCAGTATAGAATCTTAACAGCTGCTCAAAAAGGATACTCTTATTGCCATTTTCCATTCGAGGAAATTAAGGAATACAACAATAAAGTAACTAACCCAAGGTCACACAGCAAGGATGCCACAGAACTGAGATTCAAATACAGATCTGGCTAACCCTAGAAGCTTCACTCTTAACCAGAGTCCTTTCCATGAATGAAAACTAAAGTTTATATCAGTCTGAGAAATTAGAAGTACATTTTTCAAGATTAAAATTGGAAGGATCTATATTGTCAGCTCTGGCAAGGAACAAGCCCTTCCCCAGAGTGGAAGGAGCCTTATGGTCCAGATGCTCACCCAATATAGAAATACATTTTACAACATCCTATAAAGAGGGAACTCCACTGCTGCTTTCAGAACAGACAGTTCTGGAAAGTTCTTCACCAGGCAGCTGATTCCACTGAGGGACAGCTATAGCTGCTTAGAAATTTCTTACATAAAAGCCAATATAATCCTCTAGAACTTCTACCAGCTTTCAAATTCAACCTTGTTTTCACTAAACTAAGACCCTGTTATTAAAGATGTCTATCTTATCTATCTGTATTATAAACACAGAATAACCAGAGGAAACCATGACACAGCTGATGCTAATAACTGTATAATACATATCACGAGTAACTGACAGTGAAGTATGAGCATAAGGACTAAGAGACACGAGAGGTCAAGGCTGATGAGAGTGGGCATGAGCTAAACATGAGTGAGGTCATACACATGTGCCAGGAACTCAAACAGGCCTCAAATTTGGGCTTGGAGGCATGCAGCTCGGTATCAATACAGTCCCAGTGGTAGGCCCAGGTGTGGCTTACACTTTAGGCAGTAGTAACTACTAACTGATCCTAGGCTAGCTCTTTAACTTCTTTGGGCCTCCATTTTCATATGTGTAAACTGAGGATAAATATCTATACTTTTAGGTTATTATGAGGCTCACAAGAAATAATCCATATATAGTTGCCACTGTGGGACTTGACCCAGAGTATATACTCAATCAGGATAATTATTATAATTAGATTGATGTATTGAAGACATTAAAATCCATTAGGGATATTTGTACATCGTATCTAATAGGGGACTTGTATCTAGAACATATAAAGAACTGTACAACTCAATAATAAAAAGACTAATCAGCCAATCAAAAATTATTAAAGGATCTAAACAGAAATTTCTCCAAAGAAGGTACACAAATAGTCAATAAGCACATGAGAAGATGTTCACATCATTAGATGTCAGGGAATATAAATCAAAGCCACAATGAGACACCACTTTTGATTCCCACACTAGAATCAAAAGACAGATTATAACAAGTGGTAGTGAGGACATGGAGAAATTAGAAACCTCATATATGGCTGGTATGAATATAAAATGGTGCAGCCACTTTGGAAAATAGTTTGGCAGTTGCGCAAAAGGTTAGATTCAGACTTAGTATATGACCCAGCAATTCCACTCCTAGGTACACACCCAAGAGAAAGGAAAACATAATGTCCACACAAAGACTCGCATACAAATGTTCACAGCAGCATTGTTCATAATAGCCCAAAAGTGGAAACAACCCAAATGTCTATAAACTGATAAATGGATAAAAAAATGTAGTATACACATACAATGAATTTATTAGACAATAAAAAGAATGAAGTCCTGATACATGATACAACATGGACGAGCCTTGAAAACATCATCGTAAGTGAAAGAAGCCAGTCACAAAAGAGCACATATTGTATGATTCCATTTGTATGAAAGGCATTGAACAGGCAAATCCACAGAGACAAAACAGATTAGTGGTTGCCTAGAGTGGAAGTGTTGGAAAAAATTGGGGTGTGGGGAGATATATGTTTATTTTGGGGGTATGTTCTAAAATTGATTGTTTTAATGGTTGCATAGCTCTGTGAATATGCTAAAATTGACTGAATCCTACACTTTAAATGGGTTAATTTTATTATATATATATATATATATATATATATATATATAAAATAAACAAACAAAATAACCTTTGGGAGCTATGTCATACAGCAAATGACAGGATAGCAACAAGCCACAACAAAAGTGAAGTATCGGAATAAGCAAAGCCTTCTCTCAATCATACCTTCATGTCCCTTTTCCTCCACTTCAAGTCTACATATTTTTTTTAAAAAACCAACTAGCTAATTTCCACAATATAAAATTCCTAATTGAGAAAGCTTTCAATCTTAGCCATAGCTCCTTGGAGCTAACAAAGGCTTGTCACTTTCTTGTGTCTTGTTTTTCTAAAGTATACCAGAAATCTTTACCTGTAATTACAGTGCAATCATTCTTATTAAAGGTTCCCAAATAAAACTAGCTTAATTAAAATGTACTTTATCCTATTATTTTCAGAGACAGATTCAGCTAGGAATAATATTGCCTACATTGTCAAGTTTTATGCTGGATATTTCCACATATTATATCATTTCCATTATTACAACAATCATAAAAGATGCTATATATCCATCTTACAGAAAACTGTATCTGGAGGTCAACGGCTCACCCAAGATCATCCAGCCAAGGTCAGTGGTGGAGCTGACACCTGACTTCAAGTTTAGTGATCTTTATAAAAATATTAAATGAACCCTGCTAGACTCAAGACCCTCACCTCTTCTAAAACAGAAATATTATTTTAAAAGCACTTGTCATAAACAGAACATAACTTTAAAACTTAATGAAAAGGTGTACTTTTGAAATTATTCCAAATGCCTACTGTTTTATATATATGAAAGTTAATTTTTATGTTTTAAGGACAAATATTCAGAATTCACAAATAATTCAACTGATTGTTATCCAGAGACCCCCATAGTAAGGTAGAAGATTCTAGAAAACAGAAACAAGTTTCTGTGAGGAAATCCACATTATAAAGTGATACAATGTACATACACGGCACTAAACTGACACTAAGAAAGCTAAATTGGCCAAATTGACTATTTTTTGGTATTATGGTATCTTGATCTTGAAGAAGAAAACACTTTTTCCACCATGAAAGAAAACAGTGACCAGCCTATAAGAACCACCTGCACTAGCCCCATCTCCATGCAGGCCCAGCTAACTCCTCCCCCTTCCTCCCTAATTCCAGAAGCAAGGTTGACTCCTTCCTCTTCTTGACCATGCTTATTGAGGACTTATTCATTGAGCTCAATATGTCCCAGAAAACACTGAGGAAAGAAAGTTCCTGCCCACAGAAGATCAGAATGCTAAGGAAAAAATATTAAACTTTCAGGTCTGGAAAAAAATCTGAGAGTGTCTACCTCAACCCCTCATGTTCCACTGAGGAAGCTTGATCAGTCCCACCAGACACTAGTATAGTGGAGTTGTGTCTTGAGTCCAGCATGAAAGTCTGTCCCTCTTTACTACCCCATACTGTTTATTCACATTTAGATGTCTGTGGGCAAAAATCAGCTCAGAAAGATTACAGCCCATTATTTCAAAGAGCTCAGATGACCTCTACATGCATAGAAGTCATTTATCTTTTAAAACCAATTAATCCTTGAATAAAGTCTTGATTTTCCCTTGTGAAAATAAAGAAAACCTCATTTAAAATGGATTTGGGAAGCCCTGAAGGGGGAATGTCTCACCCACCTACCATTCCTTACAGCCTGAATAACCAGCAGGAAAAAGGAAGAATTCGTTTGACATTAATCACATGGGAATTGCATTTCCTGCTTTTAAGAAAAAGGAGGAAGATCCCTACCTGCCCCAGGAACAACACACTAACTACTGCTTGCAGCCAGTGAGAAACCACCAAAACCTCAAACTCTTGTTCCTCTCTAGTGAACTTTTGTTCAAAACAACCCTCCCCAATTTCCTCCTAAAACCTAATAAAAAGCGAGCCCCTCTTGTTTGTTCTCCAGATTGGCCTATGGTTGCCATAGCTTGCTTGTCCTGAATTGAAATTCTCTATTCCCAAATAAATCAATTTTGCTGGTAAAATACCTGGTTGTTTTACTTTTAAAGTCAACATTACCACCCAACTTAAGAACTACTTTGATGCACTGTGAAACACTGACAACTATAGTAAGTACATGCTCTTTTAAAACAGTGGGTGGGAAAATGGAGACATTCAAATAGAATCCATGGGGACTAATGGCACACACATCATGAAATGTGCCCAAAAGAAAAGGTGACAACTGCTGAGGTAACAATAAAGCTGCTTCTAAACTCACAAAATACTAGATTAGAAATATTATAAAAAATGATAATGACAATGCTGTGATGATGTGAAAGAAAAACTAAGACAAAATTCAGCTCTACCTTCAGAATACCCTGAAGGGATGTCACACTGTCAAAGGACTGAAAACAGGGATCATCTTTAGTAGTGCCCAAGACCCTCTGGGGAAAACCCCACCAACTAGGATAGCGCCTTCACATTTACGAGCAACATCATGTTAGCTGCTAGACCGCTTCTATGGGGAAAGTGACTAGCACACGGCCTGGCACACAGGCCTTAATAATAATGTTGATTCCTCAGTGTCTTGATGAAAGAAACTACCTACATGACTTTTTAAAAAAAGTTTCGCCATGTATCCCTCAAAACAACAAACAAATATAGAAAGCCTCCAGAAAAGGCGTGAAAAATTCAACCTCTACTTAAAATACCTCCACCATTAAAGGAAACACTGTTTTTCTACTCACAACACTTTTGATACCAAATGTGTGGTGGGTTTTCCACACCAAGCAGTTCTCCAATTCTCTGTGGCCACCAGTTGAGTGTCCTACAATTTACAATTCTTACACTAACTACTCAGAGTTAGTACAGGCCCCACAGTTTAAAGGCTCAGTCCCATGAGACACCAGTTGCTAGGTCCCCAGGGCACTAGAATCTCTGTCTAACTTGAGTATAAATCAGGGGTTCCC